GGCAAGGGAAGCAAGAGGCAGCAGTCTGGCCTCTTGCCCCTGTGCCATTGCTTTGCATGGAAGATTTTAAGATAACTCCCCAATAATTAGATTCTATGCATAGAAAAATTAAAACAAATTTATAAATTTTCCATGTGTAGAATGAACTACTGAAGGGTGATCTTAAATACAAAGCTGTCTTGGATTTGGGTGAATATAGTAGTTCTTTGTAAGCCTGCATCCAATTTGACATTTGCGTGGGTTCAAAAGTGGTACGTTGTTTAGAATGTAGTCAAACAGATGTCAGGCTTGTGTGGGTCAAGAGTTAAGCACTAGTGATAACACTCAGACTCAACAGTTCCACGTGAACTTCATTGGGAGAAACAAAGAAACCCCCTATTTTTTCCCCTTAAAATATTCTTATTAAAATTCCCATGTTGTTCCACAGGGCTCTACTTTTTGCCTTTGTGTATTTGACAGAAAATAACTGAAGAGGAAAAGTATTACCCACTTCTTTCAGGCTTCTTACTTGGTTATAGACAAAATTTAAAACATTAACTTTGATCTAGAAAGGTTCATAGGATTTGGATGCCAGCTACGTGAGAGACTTCACCTTGCACGCTTGGGCATCTAGGCTAACAGTATGTAGTTTAAAATATCTAAACGTTGGTGGTCAAGTGATTTCCGGAGAAAGCCCTCACTTCTTGAATTCCGTCCTTCACTTGGTCCAATAGAAAGAGATCTACTGACCTTGTTATTCTACAACTTGCTTTAGCACCATTCCATATTTTCTAAAAGAAAAACCTGCTGAGTAATTGTCAACTATGAAGGCATGCTCTTAGGAAATACTTAGACTTAACCCACTTTCAGAAGCAGTGACAGAGAGAAAGGTAGCACTGCTATTCCGTGCGAGCCAACTGAACATTTAAGACTAGCTAGCTGACAATAGGTATGCCAATTTGCTGTTCAGAAATGCTTCACTTCTGATTCTTTCCACATGTTTATCCAACCAAAAGTATTAACAACATGAATCATGCAATGCCAAGATTAAGCCATGAGGCCTGGCCAAAGCTAAATCTGTCAGTTATGCTCAACTGTCTGATGATCTGAGACTAATAAAACATCAGTTGAGATCCCCCAAATTAAATCCATTGTCGATACAAGAACAACTATGAGCATGTCATAACTTAGAGAGGGACACACCTAAATTGGTTAAAAAATGCACTGGGTATGCATCATGAACTAGAAATACAACACTACAAAGCTATATGAACATTTTCAACATATATTCTATGCCTATCACTGTTACTGTGAATAAAAAGGATGCAGAACTACAACTACTTTTCATCCTAAAGTCATAATTTTAATGTCTATATGCCCAATATTATCAAGAGCTATCTCTTAACAATACATTTACAAGGTCTGTTTCATCTTCTCATATACTGTACTTAAGTATTAAATACGTTTGTTATTCCCAAAGTGCAAAAAGGATTTTCACTTTATAGCAACAATATCTTTTGTGCTTTCCCCTATTTAAGAGTGTATATGTTATTAGAATTATTATAAATAACCTAGCTACTAGAGCACAGGATACCACTCATCATTATAACAAACAATAGCCAATAATTTACTTTATACTGGTCTTCCACTGCAGCTAGTTGTAGCTTCATACTCTCGCTGATTTTCATTTGATCCTTCCATTTCAGTTCCAGTTTAGCCAGTTCATCAGCATAAACACTGCATTTCATCTTCTCATCCTGGAGTAGTATAAAGTCGGTCATGATAAATTGCTCAGTTTTACAAGCCCAGGGATTTTTTTTTTAAACTGCCAAACCATGCTTAGTGCTTTCTAGGAAAAGAACACTGTCAAATGGCTTCTTAGTGGTTTACCCAACCTAGTGAGCCTTTACCTAACTGGTAAGATTTGAAGAGGATAAGGGTATTGAGGATTTCAGAAATGAGGTTCAATTTTTGTTTCTTTGAGTCTTCAGTCTGCTCTTCCTTTTTCTATTGATCTGTTCCAGCTGCTCTATTTAAAACACAATCCCACTTGTTCTCCAAATTACACTGCCAGGTGTCTTACCACCACAAAAAAAAAAAAAATCTCACTCCAGAAAACTTTGCAGTCACTCAAAAGTAGTTTTCATCCAGACGGACAAAGGCAAAGCTTCCTTTCAAGCAGGGGTCGGGCAACCCATGCTACGCATGCCACGATAGCACAGGCAGCTTCTGTGTTCCATGTGTGCCCTGGATGCTCAGTAAAGGGAGGCACGGAAATGGAGCAAAATGCTCCATGGAGCCAGCCACAAAAAGTTTAGCTACCACTACTTTAAAGCATCCCATGCAACTCAGATCAGCAACAGTTTGGAATGTACCAGAACAAATGTCCTCCCCACAAAGGAAGTCACAAATGCAGTGGTAGAGCAGGTGTCACTTCATGGTACACTGGCATGATATCCTTGTGAAGGTGAGAAAAAGGACAACAAGCTAAATGAGTTAATGACAATAGGCAAGTATTCCTTCGAAAGACTGCACTGAAAGCTCCCAAACACAGGAGAAATTCAGCTTATAACTTCACTATTCTTCCTGTTCTGATACCTTTCTTTAAAAGACTTAACAGACTACACATAGTTAAGATACTGCAGTAGTGAGCTTCTATCATAAGGATATCTGCTTAGTGATCACTTTCTACTATAATCATGTTCTGTTGCATGAATGAACATTAAAAGGATCACAGGTGGGAAGCCAAGTACTTTTGTTTTTTAAATATATTCCCTGTAGTTACCTTTTTGTTTAACTTTCCAAAGTAGCCCTTCACTTACTGTCAACATTTGCTTGCATTTCTTATACTTCTCTGCTTTCTCAGCAATTTCTTTGCTCATTTCACGCACTTGCTCCTTTACCATGAACTCCGAAACTATATCAGATGAAGTGGGGCTAACTGCAAATATTGAAGAAAAAATAAACAGGGATATTAATTCTTAGTTTTATAAATTAACTCTGCAATCCAAAGGTGACTAAAGGACTAACAGGTAAAATTATATCAATGCTCAATTTTGACAATGCGGCCCAGAAACAAAACTTTCACATGCTGGACATATCACCCCATTTTTATCCAAGGAAAAGCAAACTCAGACCAGTTATATATTGTGCATAACTAAACTGTGCAGTCTGTGTATAGCTAAATAAAATTCATCTTGACAGTTATACCTGATTAAGTACCAGTTCACTGCTCGATCCTGTGAATGGTACATATATAGCTGAACTCATCTGAGTCAACTTAATGGGATTATTTGAGAGCAAGCACTTGCAAATGCAAGTTCATAAACCAGCATTCATATGTCTAATCAGTTTCTTCTGCGTTCTTTAAATTAACAGAAACGCTAACACCTAGTTCATACCTGCAAGAAATCTCTTAGGAGATTACATTACAAATAATACTTTTTTAAAGCTAATATGAATAGAAATGACACAAAAAGTTTAAGTTGTTGATACCTGGAGACGTGGGCAAGTTTCTCTCTTTAATGATGGCAGTAGCTGTCTCACTGTTTGAGGAATCTGTCACTTTCTGATGGTTCCCTGCAATTTTCTTCATAAAAAGAAATTTTTTTGGTATTTTATTAAAGGAAATTTTCAAATCAATAATATATTGCAAACTGCTTTAATAATTATGCTACTGCTCAAAACACTATGCTATAATTTAGCTTAGTTTCCTGTTTTTCTAGGGGGTGGAAAACTATATATTAGCAGTCATTATGGGATAGGATGGGATGGGATGTGAAGGGAAGGGGAAAAAAGGGGGAGAAGGGGAAGAGGGAAAGCAAGCAATTTATTTCTAGCAGCATTTTTGCTACCAACAATGGACTTGATACAGTTGCTGGCAACAAAGAAATAGAAGAATTAAGAAAATACACCTTGAACTAGTCACACTACAACTAACATTCTGAAGTCTGATATATGTTTATATTATGACATTATACACAATACTGCCATATTTCAAAGAAAAGAGTCTTGAAAACACAGCAATTATAAAAGTTAACTTTTAGCTATATTCAAAGCTATTACAGAGCTCTCCTTAAATTCTAGAGAATCAGAAGGATTTGTTATGCTTGAAACAAGGAGATTTAAATGTAATAGTTCCCTTTAAACTTAAATTTACATTACTAGCTGTCGAAACATCACTAAAAGAAAGATCTCTGAAATTATAATTCACATTAAAAAAAAAGACAGTTGGGCTGGCAGCATCTAAGATATAGATCATATACTGCCACCACAAATTGATGACAGGCATGTGATTAGACAACAACCACAGACCTCAAGAGTTAACATCTCATTTACCATTGACCTTCTGGATGATAAGCAGGGATCCAAGTTTTCTGTTTCCCATCTGGCTGGCTGGCAGGGAGGGGGCTCGCACGCTACAGCCACCACCGCGCTACCACTGCTGCCCTGTGGCCAGCTACACGGCTCTACAGGCAAGTAGTGGCACAGGGTGGTGGCGGCCGCCATGTGCAAGCCCCTGCCACCGGCTGGCCGGCACGCAGCTGCCACCACCCCGCGCTGGCTCCATAGGCAAGCGGCACCGCAGGGTGGTGGCGGGGGTGGATGGGTGCCTGCCAGCTGGTGGAGGAGGGGCTCACACACAGTGGCCACCACCTCCCCGCACCACCACTTGCCCATGGAGCCATGCGGCCAGCTGCAGGAAGGCAGTGTGGGGCGCGGCAGCAGACGCTGTGTGCAAACTGCCACAGCCAACCTGTTAGCATATGTGCAGCCTGTAGAGGGGCACCCCTGCCCTTGCCCCCCAAGCCCCGCTCCTGGAAGCGGGCAAAGGGACATACTTCCTACCCCACTTCTCGATCTGCACCCCCCACTGCCCCATCCCTTTCCCCCGCCCCTTTCCCACACACACACACACACCTGCTGGGGTGGGTGGGTGTCAAC